TTCCTCTCAAAAAAAATTTTTTTTTTTAGATTTTTGTGGGTACAGTAGGTGTATATATTTATAGTATACATGGATTGTTTTGATACAGGCATGCAATGTGTAATAATCGCATCATGGAGAATGGAGTACCCATCTCCTCAAGTATTCATCCTGTGTGTACAAAAATAATCCAATCGTACTCTTTTAGTTATTTTAAAATGTACAATTCAATTATTATTGACTATAGTCACTCTGTTGTGCTATGAAATACCAGGTCTTATTCATTTTTTTTTTTTTTTTGAGTTGGGGGTCTCACTCTGTTGCCCAGGCTGGAGTGCAGTGGTAAGATCTCTGCTCACTGCAACCTCCGCCTCCCAGGTTCAAGCGATTCTCCCGCCTCAGCCTGCCAAGCAGCTGGATTACAGGCGCTCACTACCGCACCTGGTTAATTTTTGTATTTTTAGTAGAGACAAGGTTTTACCATGTTGGCCAGGTTGAACTCCTGACCTTAAGTGATCTACCCACCTTGGCCTCCCAAAGTGTTGAGATTACAGGCGTGAGCCACCACACCCGGCCCATTCTTTGTTAACTATGTGTTTTTTTTTTTGGCACCCATTAACCTTCTCCATCTTCCCCAACCACCACCCCCAACCAACTACTCTTCCCGGTCTCTAGTTACCATCACTCTGCTCTCTATCTCCATGAACTCAATTGTTTAGATTGTTTAAGTAAGTGGGAACATGTGACGTTTGACTTTCTGTGCCTGGCTTATTTCATGTAGCATAACGATCTCCAGTTCCATCCATGCTTTGCAAATGACTGGATCTCATTCTTTTGCACAGAATAGTACTCCACTGTGTATATGTACCACATTTTCTTTGTCCATTCATCTGCTGATGGACACTGAGGCTACTTCCAAATCTTGGCTCCTGTGAATGGTGCTGCAGCAAGCATGGGGTGCAGAGCTAGCTTTGATACATGGACTTCCTTTCTGTTGGGTATATATCCAGCAGCAGGACTGCTGGATCATGTGGTAGCTCTATTTTTAGTTATTTGAGGAATCTCCAAACTCTTCTCTAGAGTGGTTGTGCTAATTTACATTCTTACAAACAGTGTGTGAGGATTCCCTTTTCTCCACATTCTTGTCAACATTTGTTATTGCCTGACTTTTGGAGATACGCCGTTTTAACTGGGGTGACAGGGTATCTCAGTGTAGTTTTGATTGGCATCTCTGATGATCAGTGATGCTGAGTACCCTTTCATAAGCCCGTTTGTCATCTGTGTGTCTTCTTTTGAGAAATGTCTATTCAAATCTTTTGCCCATTTTTAAATCCAACTATTAGACTTTTTCCTAAAGCGTTATTTGAGCTCCTTTTCAAGTCTGATTACTAATCCTTTGTCAGATGGGTAGTTTGCAAACATTTTCTCCCATTCTGTGGCCTGTGTCTTCACTTTGTTGGTTGTTTCCTTTGCTATAGAAGCTTTTTAACTTGATGTGATCCCATTTGTTCATTTTGGCTTTGGTTGCCTGTGCTTCTCGGGTATTACTCAACAAACGTTTGCCCAGAACAAGGTCCTGGAGATATTCCCCAATGTTTTCCTGTAGTTGTTTCATAATTTGCAGTCTTACCACAACCTTAGTGACTGAAAACAACATAAACAAAAAACTTATCTCACAATTATGGAGGTCAAGAGTTTACAATGGGTCAACAGGGGCGCATTGTTTCTGGAGTCTCTAGGAGAGAATTTATTTCTTTGCCTTTTCCAGTTTCTCCAGGGTGTCTGCATTCCTCGGTTCACGGCCTTGCGTCACTCAGACTTCTGACACAGTTGTCACATCTCCTTTTGTTTCTGACACTCCTGCTTCCCTTCAGTAAGGCCCCTTGTGATTACATTGGGCCCACCCAGATTATCCAGAATCATCTATCTCTAGATCCTTAACTTAATCACATCAGCAAAGTCCTTTTTGCCATGTAACGTCATTTAGTCACAGGTTGTGGGGATTGGGATGTGGACATCTTTGAGGGACCATTATTCTGTCTTAACATATAAAATTAATATGATGTAATGCTGCGCAGTGACTTAACATTGCAAAGATTTCAGTTATCTCCAAAACATTACATAAATTTAATGTGACACTAATCAAAATCCTAAAAGGATTTTTTAAGGAAGTTGCCAGACTTATTTTTAAATGCTTATGGAAAAATAAAGGTCTCTACATAGTTAAATCCACTCTGAAAGAGAAGGCGGAAGGCAGGCGGGGAGAGGGGCTTATCCTATGCAATATTTAGATATGCTAAGAACCTTTGCAATAAACACTGGTGTGGCAACAGGCAACTGGACAATGTGCCAAAATAGAGAGCTAGGGTAATTGGAGGGGATACAGAATTAAAGTGGCACCTTGAATCAGTGGAGAAATAATGAGCTGTTTATAGGTGGTGTAGAGAAGAGTGCTCTCTACCTGGAGAAAAACAAGCCAGGATGCCTATCTTACATCACATATAGTGGTCTGTAGAGGATGATGTCCAAGACCCCCAGCATTCAAACGTTTTTAGAGGTGAGCTCCAGGTGCAAAGGCAGAACTACAAATCTTGCACGCCAGCATCGCAAAGGCAGAACTACAAATCTTGCACGCCAGCATCGTGTAGCTGTCCAGAGTACCCATGCGCTGGGGGAAGTGCCCACTGCGTTCCACTGACCAGCCCTTTGCCTGCCACACAGCTTGGTCTGTGTGCTCCTGAGGGCAGGGAGTCACATCTTATTGATTTCTGCAGCTCCAGCCATGAGGACACCATATGGCAGAGAAGTGATAAAAATGTTTGTTGAGACCTGATGGGGAAGCTGGTGACGGGGTGACTGCATCATTATTGTGGGCAGGTCCGTGGTTTCAGGAAAACGAGCTGCCCTCATGACCTGGCAGCTTGCCACAGTCAAAGATCTCGATAGGACCACCCCCACATAGCAGGGGAGAGAGAGAGGTGCTCCCAGCATGGAAAACGTCCTCGAATTTCTCTACAAAGAAGAACACCTGACCCAAGAATTAACTGTGCCCACTGGTTAGCCCCACATTTATGAGATTCCCTGTTCTTATCTCTGATTAAAATAGCCTTGTGTCATTGTTGTCACTCAGGAAAGCAGGGTTTTAATTATTTTAAAACATAATTGAAAAATACTTTTAAGACAATGGTTCAGTGTCCTCTTTCCTGTGTCAAGCAAGGGGAATTTCATTAGTTCCTGTTACTACTTCCATTGAAAAAGGTATTATATTTATCAACTAGTTTACTAGTAATTGGTAACTGGCTATATTCTGGATGAAAACCAAATGACCCAAAACCGCTCAGAGGTAAAGGACATTTAGGGGACAACTAAGGAATACTGATAATACTATATCCATATTATTAATGTTAAATTTCTTAGCTGTGATAATGGGATTATGTGCAAAAGTCTGCAATCTCTCAGATAGTTCAGCAAAAAATGTATATGCTTGTAAATTATGTATTATACACATAGAAAGAGAGCGAGAGAGAGAGAGAGGGCACACAAATGTTAATTGGAAGCCCTTCAGTGTAATATTCTTTTTTTTTTTTTTTTGAGACGGAGTCTTGCTGTGTCACCCAGGCTGGAGTGCAGTGGCCGGATCTCAGCTCACTGCAAGCTCCGCCTCCTGGGTTCACGCCATTCTCCTGCCTCAGACTCCCAAGTAGCTGGGACTACATGCGCCCACCACCACACTGGGCTAATTTTTTGTATTTTTTAGTACAGCGAGGGTTTCACCGTGTTAGCCAGGATGGTCTTGATCTCCCGACCTCATGATCTGCCCACCTCGGCCTCCCAAAGCGCCAGGATTACAGGCGTGAGCCACCGTGCCTGGCCATCTTCAGTGTAATATTCTTTCAACTTCTCTGTAGGTTAAAAACACTGATTGTAAGGTTAAGAGAGAAAAGGGCATGATACTAGTTTATATATCAGTAACTAAAAATAAAAACCTAGAAATATAAGCATATCATACCTAATTATGAAATCAAACCAAACAGATCTCAGAGCACTCATCTATGGCACGGGCCCTGAAATACTTATAGGACAAATCCTGATGGGCAACAGAACTCATCAAGGAGCTGGGTCTGTCTTGCCTGGTGTCCCTCGTGTCTGTGGCAGCACAGAGCTCCATGAGGGCAGGCATTTCTGAGTTTTGTTGCTCAGTTCCCAGTGCCTGGTTGTTCATTACAAAATGACAACAGAGTAAGACTGGAAAAAATAAAGTGCCCAGTTTCAGGGGATAACTAAGTACAACACGGTCTATTCTTTTAAAGTATTACATTATTTGTTGAATGAATATATGGAGGTTTTTAGCCTGCTCTCTGTAATATTTGGCTGTAATATTCTCTCTAGACAGGAAAAGAGAGGCCACCCAGACCGCAGAAGTGGCTCCTCTGCTGCCCACTGGCCTGTCTGATCTGGGGCTCCTTAGCCCACAAGGGGTCTAGGCCCCAGGGAGACCAGAGGCTCTACGTAACGAGACTAAAATTTTATTTATATAAATGGGGCACGAGCAAGGCTATGGAAAATGAATAAGGCTCGGCAGCTAAAACAGCATCCAGTTGTTCCAAAAAGCCATCTAAAATAAATTGATGTCGAGTCTTAAACTGTAACATTCCAATGCCAACGAAGGGCTTGGTGCTGCGGCGAGAGGCCACAGAAAAGCACGACAGGAGTCCTTCTGGAGACAGCCCGCCTCCTTTCAGGTCCCTTCTTTTGAAATTACTCTGGCCCACATCTGTCTTCTGAAGCGGCCCTGGAGATCCTGTAATCCAACCGCTTCTCTTTCTGGAATAAAAAAATCCTGGGGGAAGGGAGAAGGACTCAACCTCTTTCCCTCCAAAAATCCCCCCAAAATAAAGAGATAAATGCTTTTCAAAATGAATCCTTTATTTTGAATTTTAAAAATACATACATCTTACACTGTAGTGAATCAAAACAAAGCCTAAGAAAGTCAATTCCTGCTTCCTTTAGCCCTGACTTACACTGGGTACCCGTTTCTGTGGCCGCCGGGGGTGACGGGCCTTTGCAGGGGCTCATCCCCGCTCCACTGCACATTGGCCAGCCCCTTCCGCCTTGTCTTCCCCGTGTTGGTCATGATCTGGTGGAAGGAAAGAGAAAAAAGGGCTAGAGGAATAGCTACTGGAGAGCTGACCTAGAAGTCAAACAGAATACACTGAATAAACTACTCTATAATGATAAGGAGCTTTGCAAATAAATGAGGAAGGATCACGTCACAAATTATTCAAGTAAACAGAAATTGCGGAGAAAAACCCTTTTTCTGCTAACGGATTTCCGTATCATACCATTTAGCAGTATAAATTAAAACAAGGACAAACCGTAGGAAAAGGAAGAAAGCGGTTGACTACTGTAACTCATCACATCTCCGAAATGAGAAGGGAAAAAAATGAGACGGGAAAAATGAGAAGGGAAAAAAATGTAAAAATGAGAAGGGAAAAAAAGACGGACATTTGATTTCATAAAAATACGAACATTTCCACATGCGCAGTATGTTAAAAATAAACCAAATCAACAGGAAAACAACAAACTGGGAAGAAGTGTCTGAAGCAAGTTTAACAGATTAAAGGTGAACATTTTCATAGCTAAGGAGCTCCCACAAATCAGTAAGTAAAACACGAAACTGATAATTGGGCAAAGAATTCAAACCACCGTGTCACAAAATAGAAAGTATTACCAGTAAGTAGAAGAAACAAAAAAGACCCACTTTACTAGAAATTAGAAATTAGAACTTTACAAAAAAGGTAGCAGTCTTCAACTATTACAAGAATGACAGAAAAATGATCCCGTCCACTGCTCCCAATAGTTTAAAACACTAGTTTAAGGAATTAACACTAATTAATGAGATTAAAATTTGAGACAACTCTTAGAAAGCAATTTGGCATTTGATCAAGAGTTGTAAAAATGTTCACACATCCTTGAGTGTCAATACTAGTGAATGAATCCAAACCTTGGAAAGTGTAAGATAAACAAAGTTGTTCATTATAAAATTATTAAAGAGTAAAACTGAAGCAATCTAGTATCTAGTAACAGGGGAATAAATAAGTAAAATATGGCATATTCACTTGATATATCATATAGCTATGTACAATGATAAAGAACAGGTTATGGAGAACTATGTTTATTTAAAACATTAAATAAAAATCAGGTTATAATAATGTACATAAATAATGCTTTTTTTTTTTTCCCCTTGAGACAAGGTCTTGCTATGTTGCCCAGGCTGGAGTGCAGTGATCTTCCTGCCTTAGCCTCCCTAGTAGATGGGATTACAAGTGCATGCCACTGTGTCCAGCTAAACAATGCTTTCAATTATGCTAAAAGTGCACAGAAAGACTGGAAAGAAATGAACCTTCACATGATTAGGGTGGCTACATAGGACAGTAGAACTAAGAATATTTTTTTCTGCCACAATTTTTTGTAATATGGTTACTATCATGTTCATACTTAAGAAAAATTGTTTAAAAAGGAAATCACTATAAAACTAGCGAAATGTGAATGAAGTCTGTGGATGATAGCAATGTCAACTTCCTGGTTTTGCTATTATGCTATAAATTACATAAGATAATAGCACCAGGGGAAATTATGTGAAGGGTGCATGGGAACTGTCTGTGTTACTTTTGCAACTTCCTATGAATCTATAATTATTTCAAAACAAAAAGTAAAACAAAAACAAAAAAAACCAAACTTCTTGAACATTGGAATTTCATCTTTGATTTCTTGATTTCTGCTGAAAATTCCTTTGGGTTTATCTAGTATCTTAGGTAGGGAGAGGAAGAGAAAAAGGGCCAGTGTCTATGGGATTCAGTGAGCCTCACCTGGACCCTGGGACAGGTCTCAGCCAGGGAAGTGACAGGCGGGGTCAAAACCTGCCCTGGGCTGAGCACGGTGGCTCACGCTTGTAATCGCAGCACTTTGGAAGGCCAAGGCGGGTGGATCACCTGAGGTTGGGAGTTCGAGATCAGCCTGACTAACATGGAGAAATCCCATCTCTACTAAAAATACAAAAACAGCTAGGCGTGGTGGTGCATGCCTGTAATCCCAGCGACTCAGGAGGCTGAGGCAGGAGAATCGCTTGAACCCGGGAGGTAGAGGTTGCAGTGAGCCGAGATCGCACCATTGTAATCCAGCCTGGGCAACAAGAGCATCTCAAAAAACAAAACAAAAACAAAAACAAAAACAACCTGCCCTGACTAGGAGGTGGGGAGGGATGGAAAGGAAAGTGAAAGGGAAAAAGCCTGGGAGAGTGAGAAAGTGGGAGGTGCTCACCCTGTTGGGGAAAGTGGAATGTAACTAAGCCATGTAAATAAAAACTAAAATGCAGTTGTGTTGCCTTTTCTGTCTCTAGAGAAATCTACCAAGGCAGGATATTTCCACTGCAACCACTTAACACTGCTGTCTGCTTCCACTGTGACTTCCCCATCCATCCCACTTCCCCGATCCAGGATCCAGGGTCGGTTCTACACGCTGTCATCACAGTGCTCCACGGTGGCTCTTGCCTTCCCTGTTTCCTGTCCCTCAAGACAGAGGACCCCTGAGCCCTCCCACAGAGAAACACGAAGAAGGCAACTGGAAAAGGGGAAACAGTCAACGTGTGGGTTTTCTCGAGTCTGTGACTAGTCCTCTGTCTCCACTTCCCCAGTGTCACAGTCATCTGAGCTCGCTCCTCCCAATGTCTTCCTAGAAATGACAGAAGATGTCACGTATTCGAGAATATTTTAGACTGCCAGTTATTTCATCTCCTTAAAACTACAGAAAGAAACCTGGAAAATAGTTTAAAGTGGGTGGCATTTTTCCTTTCCCATGGATGGGGAAACTGTATCTGGCCTGTGGGCCAGCACTGCCTGGTCTGTTGCAAAAATGCCTAAGAAAGGCCCTCAGTGGAGCGGCTTCAGTGTGTAGGGCCCAGCAGTGCAGCCACTTCCCAGCCTGTACTTGCTGGCCTGGACTTCCCCTTCCCTTGCTTGCAGTGTGAGCCACCCAGCCTACTCTTGGGCGTCTCAGTTGCAAAGAAGACTTTGTGGGCTGAAGGATCTTAGAGGGTATCTTGCCCAACAACCTGCTGAGACAGAGCTGTTTATACTGAGTTCCACAGAAATGCTTTGGGGTCTGGGGAGAGAGGAGAGCAAGGGTTCCTGACATCCACCTGTACTCATCCAGAGGACGCGGCTTTCATTAGCGTTATGGATGGAGATTTTATTTGAAAGAAGGTTCTGCTACTATAAAAAGGAGCATATTTAAGCACAATAAAAAAAGATAGCATATTATTTAGCTGAATGCAATTTATTCAGTAGTAAAAGTTGGTCAACATGTCAATTTAGGTAAAAAAAAATTTCTCATTTATTGGTTTTGAGTATTTGTGAATCACTTAAAGATATTATAAAGCAGTATAAATTTCTGTAAAAAATACAGGATACAGGTACACTCTATCTATCTATCATCTATATCTACCTATCTCTGTACGCACAGAAAATAATCTGAAAGGGGAGGCAGACACTGTTAGCAGTCTACACAATATTCACCCTCTCCTTCCTGACCAACAGAACTGATTTTGTCAGCACAGCAATGTGTCTACTTAAAAATACCTCCCAGACTCCCTTGCAGCTAGGAGCCATAGGACCCAGTTTTGACCAGTTAGTAAGTGGAGGTCACCAAGTGGAGCTTCAGGAAAACACTATAGGGGGCAGATTTGGCTGACCTGCACATTTGGCCTTCTTCCTGAGTTTATCACAGATTTGTGCCAGGACATGTACCTATCATATGATCAAGAGGCAACAGGCATGTGAATGAAGATATCAAGGCAGAGTTACCACAGAACTCATGAAACTTCATGTGTCACATGGTCATTTTATGTGTGTGTGGGTTTTTTTTGAGACAAGGTCTTGCTCTGTCACTCAAGCTGGAGTGCAATGGTGTAATCACAGTTCACTGAAGCCTTGAACTCCTAGGCTCAAGTGATCTTCCTGCCTCAGACTCCCAAGTAGCTGGGACTACAGGCGTGTGCCACCATAGCTAATTAATTAATTTGTAGAGATAGGCCTTCCTATGTTGCTCAGGCTGGTCTTGATCTCCTGGCCTCAAGTGATCTTCATCCCTCAGCCTCCCAAAGCACTGGGATTACACACATGAGCCACCATGCCCAGCCTACATTTGTTTTTGTTTTTGAGACAGAGTGTTGCTCTGTCGCCCTGGCTGTAGTACAGTGGCACAATCTCGGCTCACTGCAACCTCTGTCTCTGAGGTTCAAGCAATTCTCCTTCCTCAGCCTCCTGAGTAGCTGGGACTACAGGCATGTGCTACCATGCCTGGCTCAGTTTTGTATTTTTAGTAGAGATGGGGTTTCACCATGCTGGCCAGGCTGGTCTTGAACTCCTGACCTCAGGTGATCCACCTGTCTCAGCCTCCCAGAGTGCTGGGATTACAGGTGTGAGCCACTGTGCCCGGCCTTAATTTAGATTTAGTGGGAAAAATTTCCAAGATTCACAGTACCTTCCACGCGTAGTCAAAAGACTGCTATCTGCCCTGGTGTAGAAATGGCCTCTAGTAATTCTCTATGTTGTTAGAGTATTTGTGAATAATCAGTGTGCAAGAAAATGTCAAATGCCCCCCATTACAGTTAAGCAGTGGCAGAATATGCCATTCCAAAATATGCCACTTTGGCTTAGGATTATTTTGCGGTAAAGGCACTTGATACAAGAAGGACATCCTAATCTTCCTCTTTTCTTCCTGAAAACAAGAGATAAAAACTCGCATGTGAAAGATGCTCTCCGGGCACCAAGAGAAAAAAACCACATGTTGTCAGAGCTAAGAGAATTCTGTACAAACAGACCTGGGTAACATGATTCTTATCTTCCTTTAGCCTCTCCACATAATTTGGTAACTTTTCTACAATTGCCCCTCTTTGTTCAACCTAGTTTAAAAGCATTTAGGTTCTGCCAGTTCTTTTCCCTTTCATTTCCTTAGGAGAGCTTCCACGTCACATAAAACTTATAGAAATGTATGTGCTTTTCTCCTGTGAATCTGTTTTACATCAATTTGATTCTCAGGCCCAGTCAAAAATCCTAGGGGATAAAGGTAAAACTTTGC